CACACGTCCTCCATGCAACAATAGCTAAAAACACTAAAACTACCACTGAAAGTCAAAAACTGGACTGAAACTAAACATATTCAAACAACAGAAGATCTGGACTATTCTAGAAGATACACCTGTGGTATCGTTTTGAAAATCTGAGGCAACTTCCTTCTCGAATGACTGTATTTACAAGATTTTCAGAAAACCTGATCGCTGAGATTCAAACTTGTCCGAGATTTTTCTAGATATGCCTATGGTATCAATTTGAGACTACTATGTTGCCTCGTTCTGGAGTTATCGCATTCACAAACTTGGATATCCACATTGCCCGGCTGGCCAGCAGGGTGACAATAATGCTTTTACGGCTGAAACAAAACTAAACTGAAACAAGAAATCTGGAAACTAAAAGTAAAGAAAACACAAAACTATAGTAACTCCGGTACAGAAAAACTCAACACAATCTAAACTAGATCCATTCAAATCAAATTATTTGTTGACACTCAGAGCAGCCCTCACCTGGCAGCCTGTGGGTCCAGTATCAAAGCTTCAATCACGTGGGAGACGAGCAAGCAGCTCTGCTGTTGTCTGGGCAAACAGTTAAAGAAAACTTAAGGACATAAGTTATGAGATGATATTTAAAAAAGAAAAAAAAAAGAGAGAGAGAAGAAGGAAAGTATAAAAGTATGATGATGTGCGTTTAAGGATACAACTCCACATTGCGAAGGGTTGCATAATCTGCATCAAACGACGACTGGTGTAAGTCAGCATAGCGAGCAGCAAGACTTCTGAACTCATCCATGCACACCTTCATCTGGAGAGAAGAGAAACGCATCGCAGCTTCACAACTATGCTTTTATTCCTCTAGATAAAGCTAGGCAAATAAAATAATTATACTGGCTTTTTGTCGTCCAGTGAAAAGATCCAAGTAAAACTGAGCTACTGACCCGGAGGCCCAAAAGGGAAAACTATATTGAACACTGACCTTAAATCAAATTTACCTCCTAATTAAAAGCAAATACCTCTTCAGCATGATGAACAATCTGCTCCAGTTTGCTGGTGCATTAACAGAAAGCCTAAATAGTGACCTTTGACATGCTGTAACCACAAATTCAAAATAAGTAAATAAATAAAAGGGAGTCCACTCCTCTCAGGCCAAAGTTCAGCATGTCACCTGCATTGAGATGCGGCCACAGCGTTGCAGCTCATTTCCTGAAGTGAGGGCGATGGTGGTTGCGATGGCGGGAGGAGGGCTGGTTTTCAGACTGTTGCAGGTACAAATGAGCTGCGACAAAGCTTGCAGGGTGTCGATCCGGAGCTTAATGAACTCGCACTGGAATGTGAGCGGGCTCAGAGGAGTGCTGGCAGCCTGCAGGGAGGGATTAATCAGATAAATAAGGACACAGCAGTTAAATAGTGGCGCGGCTTGAGTTGATCTAACGAGATTCTAGGTGAGTCACGTCATTAGCAGTTAGAGTTGCTTTGAAATCAGCTCTAATGGCACCCCTCTCCACACTGGCTATCAGCAGCTCTCAGCATCCTGTCACTGGTGATAGATAAACAGTATTAATGCTTTTTGACAAGCAGATGCCTGGCAGTTAACTGACTGTGAGGGAGGCGATGCCCTTTTGGTAGGAGCGCAAGGCCTCTGCGATGGCGCTCATGGCTCCGCTGTAGTCCCCGTCTTCCACGTGACTCAGGCACTGCTCAGCCTGGGAGAACTCCTTCAGGCTGCTCAGCCAGAAGTAGAAGTGCTCCGAGGCCACACGAGTCCGCACACACTGGTACAGCTCGCTGGAGAACTCGTGGCATCCCTGCAGGTGAACGATAAGAAAATAATCATCTTGCCGGAGACCCGAGGCACTTCGTGGCTGTTTGCAACACCGTTTTGATCCAAAGATCTCACCATACGCGAGGCTTGCCGTGCAATGCGATACACCGTCCAGCCGTTAGCAACATTCTCCAGCTGCTGTTTGATGACAGTCTTCACTTCGGCTGACAGAGACGACTGGCTTGCAACAAAAATCACTGTTGCCAAGGAAACCTGCAGCAGTGACAGTAGGGGGCGATGAGTGTGAAACTCTAGAGATCGGCGATATGTAAAGGCAGTAAAACAAGGAGGTAAATATTAACAGGATGCTCCTGTGAGGTTCCTCTACCTTCTATTAAAACATGAAGGCTAAATAAAACTGCATCATGTATCATTTAGTCTCTATACATCAGCTGATGCGTGAACCTTGCACATCTCTCACCAGAAGCTCCTGCTGCTTATCGGTGGACGAGTGACTGGCCACCCGGTAGAGATCAACCAGATCCCCCAGCATACCGTCCCCCAGCACAGGCAGGTGGGTGGCGATGGCCGCCAGAGCGTGACACATGAGAACACGAGAGGAGTCGCAGGACAAGTGGAGCTGGCCGAGCAGGAATTCCACTGCAGACTGGCTGAGATGGGGTCGACTTTTCAGCAGCTTAACCAATGAGGTGAGAGCTGTCTAAAGTTGAAAACAAGAAAATGCAGAGATGGATTAAACACAATCAATGAACCATTTGCTAAGTCTTTAGCCAGCGAGCTAACACACCTTTGTCCAGCTCCATGAGAGCGGAGTTAGCGTCGAGCTCCTGTTCGCCATAACAAGCCACTGACAGGAATGAGCGTGCGGTGGAGAGCGACATTACTGTGCAGTTTTTACTCCTTAAAAGAAGATACACTCATGAGATGTTAGCATTTCACTGTTCAGGCGGCATTCAGGAAAACACTGAGGATACAGAGACAGAACATCCGGTCTGGAGATTGACTTTCATAATAAAACGCCAGTTGTTACTTTAGTGCTTCTGTTGAAAAGAACATTTTTACGTGTGATTTTCATAACTTTTGTTGCAGTCACAGATATTCAATTTCTAGTTCAACACTGCGCACAACCTGAAATTGTGTGTTGTCACACAACTTCCAATTATACTTGCACCACTAAATGCACCATCTACATGCAGTTTGGCAGTGGTTGTATACACCAAAGTGTATTTACTAAACTAACAACTGTCTAACAGGATAAACATGCTATGCAAAGGGGGACTAGTTATTAGTTTAATCGTTTTAAAAATATTTATTTATGCTGAAGGGGCGTCTCCTTCTCCAGTTATGGTGGGAAAGTTTACAAAGAAAGCGGAAGCAGAAGCGCTCCTGCCCAGGAAGTCGCCGTTTCCACCAATGGTTGCGCGTAACGCAAGTTTAGCGGGGAATTCAGTCCTTCCCCAGCTTCGGCACAGAAAGCGGACCGGCAGAAGCTTGACATCGAGGAAAACGTTACGTTTTTATACAAAAGCCTTTGGATCGAGTTGTGCTGCAGTGCAGGGATGCTTTTCCGCTCAGTGGTGGACAGAGGAGTGGGCAGACGGAGGCAGAATGGTGAGACAGGGATGGGTTATTTGCGCGGCCATGGCTGGGCTTTAGCTAGTCTAACATGGAAGATAATGCAGTCTAACATATCTGCTTTATGTTTCGAGGAGTCATGCTGCCAAGAGGGCTCCTAGAGTATCATTTGCACTTGCTTTTCTTTTGCCTTCAGTGTGGACTTTAACGTTTAATTCTACTTTCTTCGTGAATGTCTTTGTCGGGCTGTTCAGACTCTTAACTGGTGGCACACCAACAATTAGTGGTGTGCGGATCGATACTGAAATATCGATTCTTCCGATACCAGCAATTTATGTTCTAGAATCGATTCTCATATTATAATATCGATATTTTAGAACTCTGGGGTAAATTTGTAGTTTTTCCATTAAAATGAACGCAGTGGAAAGAAACTATACAATTCGGATCGTCTAATTTGGAAGGAACTACTTCCTCTTACGCCTTTCATAGCCATATGCGGAATACGGCTGTATAAATGTGTCGCAGCCCCTGGCGTGCACACTCACAACAATGGCTGAGCGCAAACAGAGTCCTGTGTGGACACGTTGTTGTGGCAACACCACTGACCTCGTCAAACACCTCTGAGTAAATCACATCACAGAATATGATAAGCTTATGTTGAGGCGAACTGAAGAGGAGGACAGGGAAAGGTGCTGCTAGGGCGAGACAGACGTCTCTCGCAGAGTCCTTTAGTGCTGCAGGCAGGCAACATGCTCAAATAGCGCACAATGTCAGTTTTTTTTATTTTTTATTTCTATATGATTATTCTGCATTATTAAGCAAAACAAACAAGTTGTCTGATGTCCTCTAATCATTATGAAGCAATATGGTTATGTTACTATTACAATTACATAATACAATTATATATTGTATTATGTAATGCAATGAAACCTTAAGTTTTGTACAGAGTATCGGATCAGCATCGCCGATACCACCCTGAATTTTACTTGGTATCGGATCGGAAAGGAAATCAGTGGTACAGGTGATTATAGTAAATGGTCCCAAAAGAAGAAAAACTCAAAATCTTCTGGTAATTCAAAGAATACATACTATTTTTTTCCTGTTAAATAAAATAGGAATTGCCCGTTGATTCATTTATAATGAAACCCAGCAAATCTTCTATTTGTTTATTCATTTATTTTATTTTTAATGGTGTCTATTACTTATTTTGGTATAGTATAGCAGGCCAGGGGTGATTTGTTTGTTACTAAGAAGGCTTTAAAAATGACAATGAGTCAAATCTCTGGACCGTTAGTTTGGACTTTCGTGACGTGATCGGTTCACAAGTACAAATGATCCCGTGTGAATAGCAGCCCCAGGATCCTGTTCTTGGCCTACAGGAGCGGCAGCTGGTGTGGTCTTCTGCTGCAATGACTCCAAGGTTCAATGTGTTGCATGCTCAGAGATGCTCTTCTGCATATCTTAATTGTAACAAGTGATTATTTGAGTTACAGTTGCCTTCATATCAGCTCAAAGTGGTCTGATGATTGTCCTCTTAAATCTGCAATGCTTTTTCTGTTAGTTTTACTGCTGTGTCTCATTGATGTCCTTCCTCTGACCATGCATCATTCTCTTCAGCTCTCCCTGCAGATCCCCGGTCCAGGTACCTCTGAGTTCCCTGCTTGAAGGCTACCGATGCGTCCGACATGATGAACATATCTCCTATGGGAACCTTGGCGACTCTGTGCCACCGTTTGGATTAGCTTTCTCCTCTGGTAATTCATTTGTGCTTATCGTTGTAAGTGCAGAGAGAGCAAGGCCCTGTTGTCATTAATCTGTCTAACTGCAGTGTCTCTTTTCTCCTGTTTGTTTTCAGCCAGGGACCTGCAGAACATCCTCGCAGCAGCTAATGAAGAAGGCATTGTTAGGCTCTACAACACAGAGAGCCGTGAATATCCACTTCTTAAAGGTATTCTTGTGACTTGTGTTCATAATTGTCATGCCACGTATTTTGAAATGTTGGTGGCTAAAAGTGTGTTAACCTTGCAGCATGGCTGGCTCATGAGAATGCTGTCTTTGATATCGCCTGGATGCCAGGGGAGCCTCAGTTAGTAAGTGCAAATTCATTCTGTTTAGTCAGAGAATTGCAGAAAGTCAGATTTTTTTGTGTCACCCTCAAATGCATGACTCATGTAATTGCATCTGCCTTACCTGGGATTACTAATTTTGGGGTTTTTTTGTTGTTCTTTATTTTGTTGGAACCCATTAAAAACTCTGAAGCCTTTTCTTATTATTCTTTGGTCATCTGTGATCTCTTCAGGTAACTGCTGCGGGTGACCAGATGGCCAGGCTCTGGGATGTGAAGTCTGGAGAGTTGTTAGGCAGCTTCAAGGGCCACCTCTACAGTCTTAAGTCTGTTGCATTCGCACCAGAGGAGAAAGGTATACCTTTTACTGAGCTAACATTGTGTTGGCTGTGCATTGATGATATATTGTTGTATCATGTGATTAATACATTTTCTTTTGTCACGCAGCTGTGTTTTCTACTGGAGCCAGAGATGGAAATATTATGATCTGGGACATGAGGTGCAGCAAAAAAGGTATTGATCGGAACAGTAATAGACAATTTAGCAATACATTTTAAATCATATCTTTAGCCACTTTGTTACTAGCAGCCTGTTGCAAAAACACTTATTTTTTCCTGTTTCTTTAGTTGAATTTATGAAAAATGCCACAACAATAATCAAACTTATGTCTTTCCCTCAGATGGTTTCTACAGACAGGTGAACCAGATCAGCGGAGCTCACAACAAAGCAGAGACCAACCCTCCCTCTAAAACGAAGAAGAGACGGGGCGGCATGCGCGGCATGGCTCCGAGCGTGGTGAGTTTTCTCGACAATCAGCCGTTTAATGGAATGAAAAGAGCGATGCTGCAAATGGAAATCTAATCTTTAGCTACTCCATCTTATTTGCAGGACTCCCAGCAGAGCGTTACAGTGGTTTTGTTCAGGGATCAGCACACCCTCATCTCTTCGGGAGCTGTTGACGGGTAAGAAAAGAAAGGCTTCTTGTCACCTTTTTCACATTTATAAGAGCCGTTACCAGACATTCTCGATCATTTTCTGTCTCCTTCAATTCCCTTTATCAGAGTAATCAAGATGTGGGATTTGAGGAAGAACTACACTGCACACCGTCATGATCCTGTACCCCTGCAGACATTTCCGTATCCAGGTTCTTGCACTCGGACGCGACTGGGTTAGTTCCCTAACATGCCAAGCATCACCTTTACCTGAAATGTGCAAATAACACACAAATAACCCAGCTGTCTTTTTGACGTGCTGCAGGATATTCCGGACTCGCTCTGGACTCCGCGAGAGCCAACGTGATGTGTAACTGCACAGACGACAGCATCTATATGTTCAGTGTCTGCAGAATAAAAACGACACCAGGTAAAGAAGCTCCTCGCTCTGGCTCAACAGTGCGTGTATGTGCACTAGAGTAGAATAGGTCTTTTTTTCCAGTCACCCATTCATCACTAGATGGCGCTAATGCGCTTTGTTATGGGAGCAAAGCATCCAGCAGCAGAAGCCTCTTGATGCAAATAAAAAGCCATAGATGCTTTGTTTTCTACTGTTACGTGTTAAAGTCTGATCTGAAGTTCTGAATAGCAGTGGGTTAGGTGCTGTTTGACAGGTTGCAATACAGGAAACCATTTCAAAATGCATCATGACAGTTTTTTAATGGAAACGAAAGAGGAAAGTGTTACTAAATGTACAGAAACTAGAGGAAAGTTCAGCATTTCTCTTTTATTGTTATATACACAGTACTGTACATTTATCCTTTTATTTGATTGTCCTTAGACTTGTTTGTTCTCTGATCTTTGTGAATATTTTGTCATTTTTAAGAATTATGTTTCATCCACAGTGGCAGTTTTCAGCGGTCACCAGAACTCCTCGTTTTATGTAAAGTCCAGCGTTAGCCCAGATGACCAGTTTTTGGCCAGCGGTTCGAGTGACAACCACACGTACATTTGGAAGGTGCGTTCTCGGTTATATTTACCTGACGTAATAAAAATTGCTTTATTTTCACTCTGGGGGTTTTCTGGTGTTGAGGAACTGCGAATTTAAGGTTTTTGAACATTTTTTTGTTACATTTCAGATCTCCAATCCTGAACTTCCTCCCATGACGCTTCAAGGTCATAGTGAGGAAGTGACGTCTGTTGCATGGTGTCCGACAGATTTCACTAAGGTAAGACGTGAGTGGTTATACAAGTATGAACACTGCTGTGAATTGGAGGAGTTTTAATGAGCCGAGAAGCACCTGAACCAGCTGCACTTTGCTGGAAGATGCGGGGCGCTCTGACTTTATTCGATTTAATGAGCTTCTTATAAAGCCCTCTGCTCTGTTGGCAGATTGCTTCCTGTTCCGATGACCACACCGTGCGCATCTGGCGACTTCACCGAGAAAATGATGAAGTACAGTCCTCATTAGGAGAGGCTAACCTAGTAGGCCATGCACGTCCTAAGATTCTCCCAAGTAAGTGCTTCACCTACAATGTATTCTTGTGAATAACTAGCATATAGTCATAAAAGCGTAGAGGTTTCACTTACAGTATGTGCATGTGAATTTGTGCTTCATCATAAATCACTGCTGTCCTGCAGTTAAATACAAAACATGATCACATCTGGACTCACACTACTTTATTCTGCTGTTAAGGCCTTCCATTCCAGCTGAGACAACCCCTGCCAAGCCCCAGAGGAGAGTGAGACTTGGTGGCATAGCCTCACCTCAGCCTGCAGCCTGTGCTCCCAGTGGAGCCACCCTGCCCCTTTCTTCCAGCACCACTACACCCAACCGCTCACAGGACTCTAAAACTGCAGCTGTTCGGCACAGAACTCCGCCCACTATCAAACAGTGGTTGTCCCCAAGCAGCAGAACTTCCGAACAGGCTGGCTCTCCGGCCCATCGGGTGCTGAGCCAGTCTCCCCAGAGCTCTGCAAGCAGCACGCCCCCACAGAACGACGGGCCAAACGCAGGCTGGAAACCGGTGACGGCTCGTCTTCGAACTGTGAGGGCACTGAGCAGTGCGACCGCGTTACTGAACTCTCTCCTGCAGCCAAGAGGAGCCGGATCTTAGCTTGGTTTGTGTGACCAAAACCAAAGCAAACCAGCAAACAGCAAATATCCACATCCATCATACGCCATGATATTTACTTATCAGTCTTTAGGAACATCATAGATAAAAACAAGCAGCTAGGAGGACTCCTTGTTTAACACTATGCTGTCAGTTAATTGGTATAAATAAAATCATAATCTTGTGCTTAAATGCTTCGGTCAGAATGCAACGTTTCATTCCATCCAATAAAACATTTATGTGAAATTTCATCATAAATTACTGATGAATTCTTGAGTTATGGCCAAAAAAGACATTTTGTGAGGTCATGATGGTGCAGACCATGGATACCATCTAAAATCTGGAAAAAGACCATTCATAAGATAGGATGCATGACTGGACAAAAAATAAATTACTTAATTAAAATCATTCCAAAAGTACATAAATAGTTTTTGCACAGTTTCTTAAAACATGGCTTATCTGACCAATTTATTGTTAGATTAAATGCCAATTAGGATTCCGCCGATTACACAAAACTGCAAAAGAGTGTTTATTACGATGAATCTACAGCAAAGTTTACAACACATTTTTGTTTGCCACATAACAGGGCAGCACAGCATCATGTTAAGTATGGTATGCAGACCAATCATGAATATAGTCACCCACAGGCCCATTTGGAGTCCAACTGTTAGCCAAACAGCAATGATTAGACTCCACAGCAGGAGCATTTAAAGCAACCAATACCCGCTTGTTTTCAGCATCGTAAAGTCCGGCCACTGAACCTGCTGCAAATGAAGGTGCTTAACCGTTTTCACTTTTGCTTGCAAGGCTTTCTATTAATGTTGATTTAAATTATGGGAAGATTTATGGAAAAAAAAATCAGATTGCCTTCCCTTAGAAATTAGAGTAGAAGCAATGTGCGATTAAAGATTGAGATCAAGTCTGATATCAGACTACAACATTTATTGAACACGGAAAGAAAAATATGGCATTATCTGTGATTGGCTGACGTTGGTCAGTGGGATCAAGGTGGTGGGTGGCCCCAGAAGCAGCCTTGCCTCGTCCTCCAGCTGCTGACTGACCTGGATGGGCGCAATGATGTACACTGCCGTGTCCTTACTTGAAAACATTGATCGTGTGGTTCCAAATTTCCAATTTTGAAATTCCTAATGGTATAGGTTTTACCCTCCTTAATTTGGGAGGCCAAGTTTTCGAATATCACAAATCTTAAAACATTTGTCCCATCACATACTGCCGCATTATATTATTGTGGACAGCTTTGGGCCTTGCACTTCCATCGGAGAAATGCCAGCCAGTGACTTTTGGGGTTTCTTTAAGACAAATCACTTTGACTGTTAGGGGTGGCAGCCTGGTGTACGGCTCACCGGTACTGCGATGATGCTTTGATGAAGCCATTCTGAAATTACACACACACACAAACACACACACACAGTTTTATGAGACACCATAATGTCCATTTAATCAAATATGACAAACACAGAAACGTGTTTTTGTGTTTGTCATATTGATGTTTTATATATTGATGTTTCATATTTCCCTTGAGCCTGTGAATTAAAAATAATCTTGATGTTTGTGTAGGCCCTCGGTCATCTTACGCATGTTAGTGTTAAAAACTCATAACGTGAAACGAGGCAACTGAGGAAAACATTTAAACCCGAACATGCAGGTAAGACTTATACGTTTTCAATGCTCTCTGTGTTAATAACTTGCAATGTAAACTTCACAGTTAATTAGCCAAGAGTGTACAAAGAGCTATGAATTTAAGAGTATAAACTGTGTGGCTAGCGGTCAGTGTACCTGCTACGGTGCTGCTAACTTGTGAATTCAAGTCGCACAGGTGTTCATGGCTTAGTTAACGTAAGCAGGTTACACGGAGCCTTTATAACTAAGAAGTATGTCGCATTGTTATTTATATGCTGAGAATATCTGTTAAAGGCATATAGCCTTCTGTAGGCTACATCACTGTTTTATGTTCTTGTCTTTGCATATGTCACGATAACTGAAAAAAAAGAAAAAACGGCTAATTTTTAACAAACCAGTAAATTGGTTTATTTCACAGATATTAAAAAAATGTTTATGGTCATTTCTTTGTCACCTTTGCTTAACTGACAGCTTAGCTAAAGGAGTGCCTGCTAACTGCAGAATTCGGTTTTTATAACCGGAGGTTTTAGGTACTTATTATTTGTTCGTGCTGGGGGTTTTTTTGTTTTTTTTTTTTTATAATAAATCATTATGGAGTTGTTATTATTTGGGTCTACATGTTTAACTGTGCGTTTAAATCAATATACTCACCTACCTTTTGCAGTTACGTTTTAGACGTCAATAACAGCCAACGGTCTGATGTTCTAGAAGGAATCTGCTCGCGACCATCAAAGTGCGTGATGGGCTCGAGACAAAAGCCTTTTATCTCGATATGCTTAGTGTGTGAGGGGTGTCTACTCATAAGACAAACAGTCAGCTGGTTAAAAACTTTAATCATTGTTAACCATATTACAGAGGCACTGCCAGCTCATATTAATGTCATCAGAGTCACCATGAACTGTATCTAGCAGATGTTTTGTGCCTACATCTGCAGCTGTTACTTTTCTGCTCACCCCCCCATATTAGAATTCACCTTGCATTTTCAGGAATAACAAGCAAATACTTTGCAACTAACCTATAGATTGTATTATCTGTCAGGAACAGGAGGAAAGACCCAACTTTTGAAATTGCTATGTGGCCACATTTTTGACAGCTGGAGCATAAAGTTACATTGTTGTGTAGACAAGTCTTTTAAGACCTCACAGTTCAAATTGTATTTTCATTGCCTTGGGTTTAGAAGCAGTATTTCAAAAGGTGCACCGATGCAAATTTGACAGGGATTTGCCACAGAGAAACATAATGTCATTAGTTACTACAGGCATATTGGATAGAGCATTTTGATTGGCCCAATAAATTCAAACTTATTTTCCATTGGTAGAATTGTCTTCAGCAGACAAATGGTTTAAATCAGGGAAGGTGGAGTTGGTTGACGACTTTAAGAGTCATCTTTTGTGAATAGATGATCAGAACAAAACTATATACCTCTCCCTCATTTCAACTCATCTGGACTAATTTAATGTCTCTGTTTTTCGGCTGTATCATTTATCAGTAAAATTACAATTTGTTCAAACACAACAGACACCTATCCTACACAAACTTTCCCCAGATTGCAAACAGAAGTGGTGGTGGAGTTGCTGTTTATGTGAAAAGTGACATTCAAGTGCATGAAAAACGGTGCATCCATAATGTACCTAACTTTGAATTTCTGGCTTTAAAGGTTGAAGCACCAGTCAGTGCTCTGATTGCAGTTGTGTACAGACCTCCAGACTACACTCTGAGGCCATTCCTGAAAAACCTGGTAAGCCTATTAGACTCATTAGAGATCATGGACTGTCATCCCATCATAGTTTGTGGTGATTTTAATGAGAATGTTTTATCCAGTGCAAACAAACCAATCCTGGAGCTGTTTGAGTCTAGGGCATATGCACAGGTCATCAGGTACTCAGATAGCCCGCCCTCTTTTATTGATATATATTTCATTAAATAATTTGCAGCGCCAAAAGCATCTAAAACAAAGCTTATGTCGATATTACTGTTCCAGGCTTCAAGCAAATGTGGATTATAGCCATTTATCCAAGAGTCTTTTGGATCACGCTTTAGTATGATAGTACTCCTTGTTTCA